GAATTTTTTCAAATAAATGTTGGTAATTTTTATATTTTTGTTGGTTTTTGTTTGATTTTGTTTTAAATATTTTATATATAGTTTCTGTTTGACTTTAGAGGATTTTCTAAGTCCTTTGGTAATCCATGGACTATTTAATGTTTTGATTTTTGTTATTTTTTCACAAAGTGGAAAGTTTGCATCGTATATTGAGAAGAACGTATTAAAGAATTTATTATATATTGTATTTGTGTCTTAATTTAAGTTAATATGTTTCTAATGCAGAAATGATAATTGATATTGAAAGGATTTTATATTGTTCTCATTGAAGACACATTTTTTATTATATTTTATCTTTCGGGGTTATTATAGGATATAGTATGGATTTTAGGATTATATGGACTATAGGATATAGTATGGATTTTAGGATTATATGGACTATAGGATATAGTATGGATTTTAGGATTATATGGACTATAGGATATAGTATGGATTTTAGGATTATATGGACTATAGGATATAGTATGGATTTTAGGATTATATGGACTATAGGATATAGTATGGATTTTAGGATTATATGGACTATAGGATATAGTATGGATTTTAGGATTATATGGACTATAGGATATAGTATGGATTGTTAGAAAAATGGAGTAAAGATCGGATATGTCGGTTTTAATAATTCCTTTTTGTAATTTCCTATTATAAATATCTGTTGTAAAAATATTATCAATCAACGTAGTTGAAGTTATGGTTATTCTAATAGGGCGATTAATTAAAAGAAGAGCTCTTGCCATAAATATTTCAACATAAAAATTTTTTACTTTTTTATCTTTATTATAAATTAAATAGTTCATGTTGAAATCTCTAATTATAAGAGTAATTTTGTTTTCTTTGCTACCTTTATGAATGATATTTTGCAGTAAAAAGAAACTAAGATTTTCAGACGCACCATCAGATGGTCTATAACAGCAGCTTAATAAAATACTTTTTTTTTTATTGTTTAAAATTTCAATAGTTACGATTTCTTTATCACCGTCAGAAACGCACGTATCATTCCCAATGTTAAGTACAATATGTTCCTTAACGTAAATCAGATCTCCTCCAACCCGTTTATTTGTTTGTTTTTCTAATAAAATTTTTTCAAATGCGATATCGGTTGGGAACTTCCTATTAAATGCTCTTCCGCAGTGCTTTGTGATAAGACCGGTTGGACTTCTTGGGGCACCTAAAAATAAAGAAGTTAATTTAGTTTTGTGCATGTTTGTTTAAATAATATTAACGTTGAAGAGATGGCAATAAACAAGACTGAAAGCATTTTGCTCTATTTATAACCAAAAAAAGGCCCAAGACTTTTTTAATTCACATATAACAGAAGATATCTTTGTTTTATTGACAATAAAATGGTTTCTCCATGATTGGTTCTGATCAAATTTTACTCTCAAAAACTTTGTATGATTTACTCGATTAGTTTTATTTTTATTGATTGATAGTTTTTGCAACTTAACAAAAGCTCAATTGATTGTCTTATTTTATGGATGAGAGTAAAACTTGTTTTTTCACAACTTAATGAAAATTCATTAGTAATAAATCATTGTCCAGTGGGCATGTGTTGTCCTGAGGACGCCCACTGGGAGGTTAATTCTTTCTAGTTCAGTGTTTATTAATTCAAACTATACCTTTTACGTCAGAGTAGTTGTAGAATAAATTTGTATTGCCTGCATAGATAACTGATGATATTTTATGAGTAGCTTTATTCATATCATTAATATATATTAAAAATAATAAAGGTTCCAAGACTGATCCCCGTGGGACTCCCCATACAAAATCAAGAGCTTCTAGCTCGTCCAGGACAATATACTGTTTCCTTTTAAAAAGATAATCTTTAACTCACTTATATATTAGGCATTTTATGCCGTAATGCTTTAACTTTGAAAGTAAGATTCCGTGATCAACAGATTTACCGCTTTTTTGTTAAAAGCGTATTTAATGTCATGTAGTCATAAAATCTATTAAAAACTACCTTTTCAAATATTTTTTAAAATACATCGAGTAGTGATATGGGACAGTAGTTGCAAACAGAAGAACAACCACTTTTTATAAAACTGGGTGAATTTTGCCTGATTTTAATTTATCAGGAAAAATACCATTACAAATGAAAATAATATTAAAAAAAATTTACTAACTATTTTAATTATTATTCACAACATAAAAAGCTACATATCTTGTAATACTGTCCACATGGCTTGTTACACTTTAGTTAAAACTATGCTTTGTTAAAATCGTGTTTATTTGTTTTTTTCATTATATATGCTAGTCGCGGGTTTCTTTATAAACGCTATATAGTTTTACGCTATATAGCTTTATAAAACGCTGTATAGTAAACGCTGTAGTATTTTACTGAACAATGTTAGCTGCAAAAGAGGCAATTTTTTTAAATTGTTTGTTTTTTCATTTCAGTGGTTAAATTTAGGCAGATATTGTGATTTGATATTTTAAAAAATATTCAAGTAATATATTTTAAAATAAAGATTTCTTTAAGTAATATATATATTTTTTTTATTGTTGCTATTAGATAAAGTTCCGTGCGCAATACGTGCGCAATACGTGCGCAATACGATTAATAAGAAAATGATCAGAGAAATCTGTAATAAAAATTCCTGATTTAAAATGATTTTTAAAAATTATTAATTAAAACAGAGCCGCCGAGAGCTATCACGACGCCCGAGGCATTAGTAGCAATTAGACGCCCCTATAAGCAAGCATATTTTTAAATTTAAAGCAAGTTCAATTATGCAAGTTAATAACTTTTATTTCTAACACTATTACAACATATTCACTGATTAGGATTAATAAACAGATTCTTTGAAATTAATATTGTAAATACTCTTTAATGCTTTTTTACAAACAAAAATTTTTATTATTGTTATGTTATCTTACGACCGTGTTGTATCCAAGGCCGGCGCGATGGGGTGTGTGGGGGTGTGACACCCCCCATCAATGATTTTTTCGTTCATTTAGTCGGCAAATTTGAGCCTTTTTGACTAGTTAGTCGGCAAATGTAGACCCATTCGACAGGTTAGTCGGTAAATTTAGACAGTCAATCGGCAAATGTTGTTATGGCAGTCGGAGGGCAGTCGGCAAATTAAAAAAAAAAAATCCTTTTTTTTTATTTCGTCGGCAAAAGTTGTAATGGCACCCCCTCCCCCACGTGACCCCTACTCGCGCCGGCCCTGGTTTTATCCAATTCATTTTAAAAATGTATATCCGATAGACGTTCTTAAATCTCTTGTTTTAAATTGGCCCTAACAATCATCTTTTTTAAATCAATTTTTATTTACTTAAAGGTCGTTCACCTTTTGTGATACATACTAGTATAAAAAATTTGCTTTACAAAAAATTCTCTTTTATTGCCAAGACCAGTCATAATCAAGTTTTAATTCGGCAACTTTTTAAAATTATAAGCTAAGTTTAGTGAGAAATCGTAAAGGCGTCTTTTTTTCAATTGGTTTTTAACGACCTTCTAATTTCTTCAACAGCGGTTCTCTGTGACAAATTCTGATGGTTATATTATAGTTTTAAATAACTACTTTCTTTAATAATTTGTTAATCAAATTAATTATTTAAAACTTAAACTCTTTGGTAATATAAACAAATTAAGTTAATATGCGCACCACCACGTAAATTTAGTAACCTCATCCTTAAAAACATTTTTTTTCATTTTTCTACTTAAAATTCCATTATGATTTTTTATGTCTTTTGTCAAATTTCTATTAAAACCTCATTATAATTTTATATAGTTTTCGTCTCCTAGCGCCCCTATTATCTTGGCGCCCGGGGCACACATGCCCCTTTTGCCCCTCCCTCTCGACGGGCCTGAGTTAAAATATTACCAGTTGTGGTTGGAGGAAGTAGTTTTTTAAAACGCGTAGTCTTGAAAATGGTAGGTGCAATGTTAATAACAAAAAAAAAAAATTTAAAAAGTTTTTTGTATTTAAAAACTTTTCGTGAGCCAAACATTTCACATCCAAGTTTAAATCACCTGGGAAAAAGTATGCATATTCTGAATACTCGTTTGTAGTATAATGGTTCTAATATAAAGAATATAATGAAAGTTAATTTGCTTACAGATATTAAAAAAGGCTAACCGGTTTTATTTAGAATTTCTATACACAAAGTTTTAATATATTTGTTTGCTGTACAGAAAGTCTTTTTGCATTAAATACGAACTAGCCGTCTATGTTCTTCAAAAAAAAGCGACTATAATTTGAAAATCACCTTCTTGTGGATTTCGGTGGGTGGAATTTTTACGTGTAGAAAATTTCAAAGTTTTATTGTCAATAATTATTAAATATTAAAATAATAAATATTAGTAGTAAATAAGTCTTAAGATAACAAATATTAGCATTTCTGTCCATTTTTTAATACAATGTTGGTCGACTTTCGTAAAATCTACTAGTAAAATAAGTTTTAATAAGGGAATGAAAGATTTTCTAAATTTTGTTTTTCAATTTGGTTAGTGAATTGGCTTAATAAAGAAAAAGAAAACTAAAAAATCAAAAGAGGACAAGAATATCGTTGTTTGACGCAACGTTTACTAACCTGAACAGCATAAAATCAACCAGAGCTTTTATCAACAATTATAATAACTTATTGTATTGAATAATTTAATATTGTTTCTTTTTCTTATTCTTTTCTTATTCGATTTATAAAATTCTATTATTTTTATGTTTTTTCGTCGATGATCGGTGTGATCATATCATTTGTTTGGACGCAGACCTTTCGTACGGAAATATTTTTTGGCGGCTCATTATAAATAACGGCACTATTTTTAAATAAAAAATGTTTACATCTGTACGAGCTGTAAACACATGTGTAATAAATTTGTATGTGTATAAATTGTATAATTGCAATATATGTCTATCAAAATTTTATTAATTTTATATATTTTTAAAACTACAAAAATATTTATTTAAAAATAAATAAATTTATTTATGTTTTTATTTTTATTATTTTTACAGCAGCAGTATAAATGAAATATGGACATTAAGTTTCAAATTAAAAAAATAATTGAAAATGGAAGTAAAGATACTGACTGGCTTTGTTTTATTGATCAAGTTAAAAAGAAATGTGATCGTGATATTTTACAAGGTTTATATTTAGCTGCATTTAGTAATATATCCCAAAATAAATCAAAAAGTTTCAAGAAGTTGCTTGTTGGTTTTGCTAATCTTCAAAGGTACAGTGTTATAATGCATTAAAATTCATCTATCTATCTATCCACCTATACGCTTATTAAAAAAAAATCTGGTGTTGATCATAGTTGTACTACTTCATTTGTATTAGTATTATAGCACACATAGCTCACACATTAAATATATCACTAAAGCTATAAGCTATAAGCGAACCCCACAATAGTACTGTTACATTAAATTAGAGTGGTTATCATTTAATCCTACAAATCACCTAAGTAAAAAAGTTATATCCATACATAGTTATATACATTTGATTAAATACACAGTAGGGTTTGAATATTTATGTAATGTTAAATATTAAGAATATTTATATAACATTAAAATGTAAGATTTATTTGTTTATTTTTTGGATTTATTGAATACCAAATAGTTTTAATAAAATTTTATATATTTTAAAGGTAAGTTTGTTTATTTTTTTAGATTATTCTTAAACCTTATAATACATTTTATGCTACATATTTTATATATATCTATATAATTTTTTTTGTATTACTGCATTACAAAGTATTATCAACTCACTGTTGCGTTCAGTATATCTGAAATATAATAATTATATCAATGGATATTTAAAGGAATCATCCTCATAATCAAATCTTGTTTTTGTGATTTTTTTTTCAACAAATTTAACTCCAACAAGGCTTTTTACCAATATTTCAATATTTTTATTGGCTTTTAATTTGTATTCATCAAAACTGCATTTTCTACGCTCAAACTTAGCAGTATTATTAGCACTTTATATACTAGTTCATTTCATTATTTTAACCAATTGCCTGTGGGATACCATCTCAGATTTTCCTAATTTTTACATATTTTGTGTATTTTGTAGATAGCTTAAATTTAAAATTTTAAACTTCCAAGTGCAAACATTACAAACTCGTCAAAAAATGCCTGCATTTTAAAATATCCTGATTTTTAATTATCAATCGTTGAATGAATTATTGGAAGCCATTGTCCCTCTAATCTGTGTACTGGTCTGTGGGAGGTGTACAGCCAATTATAAGTCATTTCTTAAAAAAAAGAAAAATATGGTTAATTGACCCTCCATGATCTTGTCTTTATAGTGGATTGGGCACAAATAAAAGGAAATTAACTATTTAGAGACCTTCATTATTGTTTAAATGTGACACCTGAAACATAGTTTACACAATTTAAGAGTATTATATTTCAAAGTCAAAAACAATATATATCTTCCAAAATAATGTTGATTTGTTTTTCAAAAGACTTCCATAATATATAAAGGATATTAAATTCTATAATAATGAAAAAAAAAATTCTGAAAATGTCAAAACTTGTTATAAACAACTTTTATTATAGGTTTAGTTTTTACTTTATAATAGATAATTAGTTGATTATTAAAAACAATTAATATATGATCATTTTTTTAAATCTTTTTTTTAATAAGATAAAAGTAAAACTATATATTGTGTTTTTGAGCTCATGCTCATGTAACATGACAATAATTTCACTAACTGAATACCAATGGATATTTGGTATTATTGTATACTTGAAATAATCATCAGCATTTTGTAAACAGCTGACACAAACAGAATCACGTTTAAGAATAAGCACTTTAATGAAAATTGATTTCAATATTTATTGACTCTAGTGTAAGCAAGTATCTTACAGCCAGTGAAGAACCCAGACTTGTTTTAGTACCGTTTTATGGGTATGGGCGCAAAAAATAATTTTCAATTTTAATTTTGATTTTTTATAAAAAATAGAAAAATATTTAGTTTTAAATGCAGTAGTATATAAATAATTCTCAGTTTAATTTAGTTACCTCATTTTTTCTTCAGGAAAATAAAAAGAATTAAAAAGAAATTGCTTTTTTACATAACTACGTGATGTAATTTGCTTTCGGTTATTACAGAACATAATTTAAAAAAAAAAAAAATTCATTAAGAAATTTTAGATTAATTTTAAAACCACGTTGCAAAATTTTATAACAATGGAATGTATAAAAGGTTTGTTTTTTTGAGAGTTAAGCATTTTTAAATATCCATTCAGGGTAAGGTTAATTTTTCTTTTTGGCAATTAAGAGTAAATAGCTTTTGATAATAAATGAACTAAAGTAAAAAATATCAGTTTTTGTAACTATCACGCAAGTTAAATTTTTAAATGAATGAACTTTGAATGAATGAAATTAGCTTGTTATTTTGGTTTATGTGAGGAAAACGAAAAAACGAAGTATAAACTTTTTCAGAATTTTTTTTTCCTTTCAATATTCTTTTTAAGATAATAAAAAAAAAAGGTTTCAATAACTTAATAAAGTTTTTATTTAGATATGTATAAAATAACCCATAGTAAATGTAATTTATTTATTCAAATGTAGTTTTTTAAATTATTCTTAATAATTAAATAAATATATTTTTTTAAATATAAGTTTAAAAAAATATAATATCGTTTTTAATCAAAATAATAAAATATTTTTAAAATTATGTTTACTGTCTCTTCTCTTTAATTATCTTTAATTTAAGAGGCGCCTTAAAATCACTTTAAAAGTTATAACCTTTAGTAAAAGTTAAATGAACAGTTTTACTAATATTTAAATCAATTTTATGTTAATGCGGTAGTGGTGTAGTGATAGAGCGCTTGCTTCATAAGCGAGAGGTTCCGAGTTCAATCCCCACCACGTCCCTGGTAGTACTGCGCTCAACTTGTTTCTCCGCGCAGCGGCCTAGTTCATCAAGGTTCGTGTTTCGAAGTTATAGAGTTGAGAGAGGGTTATAACCACAATTAAGTAGCCTCCTCGTCTGTAGTGGCCTTCTCGGCCTTGGGGAGGTGAAATAACAAAAAAAAAAAAAAAATTTTACAAATATTATGCAATACGTATATATATAAATATTATGTAATGTAAATATTGATTAAAAAATTGTTTAAAATATTTTTAATTATTATTTTAAATTAAATTTACTAAAATATAGTTAATGACTGTTTAAAATACTTTAAAAAATTTTCAATAATTATTTACTGATAGCATGGTATATGCAACAAAAGCGTTTATTAAAATCTTAGGTAAAATACTTTTCTTTTAGTTAAAGTAACATCGTCCACCAGTAAATTCATTTATTCAAAAAATGCCTTTATATCAACACTTTATTGTATGATAAAACTGAACGAGATAAAAATAAATGATTATTAAGAAAATGATGATTTTAAGTTATTGTTGCGGCACCTGTTTAACAAGAGGAGAATGAGGGGAGGGGGAAATCAAAAACAAAATCTCCCCCAGCCCCTCAACGTTGCTGAAAAAAAAAAATCGTATCCCCAAATAAACTCTGGGTTCTTCACTGCTTACAGCACAATAAAAAAAAATTTTCTCATTGATGTTACATTTTTTAAACAGCATGATTTAGGTGAGATATAATGCAAAGTTCATTTAAATAATGAATAAGTTCCTTTGACAGCTCAAATTCCTTTGTTCCTTTGAACATTCTCAAATCATTTTGCAAGTACTTTATGTATATTTAATAGCAATTGTTTTGGTTTCATATATTATTTTTTATCATTATCATTCATATATTTTCATATAGAAATTTAAAAATAAGTTAAATCAGATAAATCTGAAGACATAGTTTTAAAAGTGTATTTAGTAAGATCTTGTTTTAATGAATTATTTTCTATACGATTTCCTTTTAAAAAAATCAGGATTAACTTTAAAATGTCTTTAAAAGGAAACCTAACACTAAAAATGAATGAAGAGTTGCCTAATTTTTGGAATCATAAGATGAACTTCATCCATAATTACAAATAATAAATTTTCAGTAAAATCTATTTGTATAATTAAAATAATTTGCATGATTATTAACTATGATTGCATAAAATATTATTTTGTATTGAGATTTTCTTTGAGCTGCTTTAAAAAGTATGTATGGGATTTGCTAATATAATGATGTTTTGTGAGTTCGTATAAGTTGTATACTTCTTGAAATTCATCACAGCTTTTAACTAACATTTCTAAGGAGCACCTATCAGTTTTCAACAATTGTTTATAAGTTATTTGATTAGATAAATCCCCTGACAGATAATTTAATTTTTTTTCAATTTTTTTCACTTTCTTACACTTACGAGATGTGTCATTGAAAGATACATGCTTCGTTTTCTAACATGAAACATACATGTTTCTTTTTTAAATGAACATACAGTCAATAGCCATCAGATCTTTTGACTTTATTTCATTTTTTCATGTCTTTTGCCATAAGATTCATGTTTTGATGCTATATTCAAACTTAGACTGTGTGTCAGATTTTCCTGTAAATATACAATGTTATAGCTTTAAAATGGCAAATGATGTCAGTCTTATCTTAACTATATTATTGACTTTGATTCTTTAATCCATTTCAGGTTCTGAAAGGTTACATAAATGAGTTACTAAAAATAAACCTTATTTCAAGTTATTTTCAATGTTAAAACTTTTAATGAGAATTTACTTATACATGAAGTTAATCGGCAAAAACAGGAATGAAAAAAACATTTAAACATAAAATAATTATATTTTCATTGTTTTTACTTGTTTTCTATAAGATTAAAATCTGTAATATGTTAGTTAATAATGTTTTTTTGTTATATAAATCTTAGTTCTTTTTTACACTTTTATAGAAAGTTCAACATTTAAGGTTTTTATATATTTTTAAATTTTACATACAGCTGAAAGTTTTTTAATTGATATACAAATTCATATACATTTTTTATAAAATAGTTATTCAAACAAAATTACATTGATATTATGGTTTAACTCATCTTGTTTTACTTCACATAACCATTGATGCCTAAATTGATGTCTTACTTGTGTACTGAATTATTAGCAATTTAATCAGTGATTTTATAGGTAATTACCTGAATTTGAAGAAATAATATAAAAGCTTTTAATATAAAATTAATTTAGATATTTTTAAAGTACATTTAAATACTTAATACTTAATAATGAAGCTCTCTAAATAGTTAATGCCCCTTTATTTGTATTATAAATAATAATGAAGCTCTC